CTACACATCTATGTATACAGTTACTTCTTTTGAAATTGATTACTTTCTTCCTCTCTTTGGAAGATTCCCACATTTTTCTGTATAAAGCCAAAAACTTTCTCTGACGAAAGTTAGTCACTCCAAAAAATATAACCCTTTCAAATTACAGGGTTGATATTTTAACTTTGAATAAAAAATCTGAAGTGGAAGTCTATAGTTTGTTGGTGATTTTGAAAACTTTGTAAAATCCAAAAAAGTGGTACCTGATTGGCCATTATTAGCCAAAGCTGGCTTTCGAAACTTATTACATTATAATTTCTCTTCACTGAATTATGATGACAGTAGAAGTACGGAGTACTCTCAGAGAAGATACTTTACTAATAGTGCTATAATATTTCACTAAAATGAAATATTCGGTTATGACATTGGGATATTTATTTACCAAATCTGCCTGACAAAGTGTTATTATATGAAATAATAAACTTGGTACTTTCGAGAGCCAGTGTCTGTTAATAATGACCTCCTTATTAGTTAGTTAGTTATCAGTTATCATTTTTTTGTATTCTTATAGAAGCTTATGTTTTCGCCAAGAAACTGTGGACGTTATATTCTAATTTCTTGTCTGAAGTTAAGAATTCAACGATGCCTTCCTCGAACTTGAATTTCTTACTTTGGCACAAAATGTTCACAAGTTTCATTGATGTTGAGAAGCTAATTATTTTTTACGTAAAAGTATACTCATATATAGGACGAGGTTATATCTGTGGACAGAATGTTTGGATAAAATGTGTAATGTGTGAATTATTTAGGTATTATCATGGATAAATCAATGTTATCACCTGAATAACGAGAAATTTCAACAAGAATATTCGTTTGAAAGTTCAATTATTGAAAACACAGTGTTGGAATATATGAACAAAGTATGTAAATGAATGAACTCGTATTTTTCAATAAAAATGTAGGAACGTAGCGTATTCTTTTCGAAATCAATGAAACTGCTAATATTCAGAATTGAATATTTCTTTATGCCTCAATCAGTTTTGATTGAAATATTAAGATTTTTGAGTATCATTTATAAATTATTGGTGATCTAGTCTGAGTTTAAATTGAATCATTGTTTTCGTAAGATCATGTGAATCATTGAAGTGTGATTGTTTAAAAAACTTTTCTTCTCGCTTGGACCTAAAAGTATCTGAAAGTAATTTGAAATCACCTCAGGAATCATCTTAATAGATGGCCTCTCTTTGTTGTCGGTCCCCGATTCTTCAGGTAGCCGGATCAAAATAGTGTAGATACTGTCGTTGGAAAGCGACCTTTTCGTGAGGCGGTCTCCCACAGAAAGACCTCTGGAGTCTCTTGGTGTCATACGTGTAGGCGTCACATTGGTTTGCAGAAAGGAGTGATCCCGTTGTGATGAGAGGCTTACGTATGGGTCTCTGAAACATTTGAGTTATGTGAAATGAATATTGTTTGTTGGTCAGATATCATTGAAACTCGAACCATTTTTTACTATTCGATTTTCATTAGGTGTTATTTCATGATGAAAATTCTGAAACAGTGCTAACAATAGTATGATAAAATCAGCTCGGAAAAATGAGCCTCAGGCCTCTATCATATGATTTTGCAGAGAATTGTTACGTGAAACATTGCCACAATATCCATAAGCGTTTCAATCATAAATAGGGTGGAATGTCATGTGAATAATGAAAAATAAATTATTAGGTATTTTCAGTATACCAGGTGATTCTCTACAGTGGCTCATCCCTATAACTTTTTTATTAAAGGAGATAGAGAAACGAAATTTGGGGGTTGTGTATTATAGTTCAATTTATATTTCTTGACATATATACTTGCTTTGTCGTACTTTCGATTTGACCGGAAATTACTCCAACTTTCGATTTATTTCGAATTCAGTTGTCCGTCGAAAATTATTGGCCCCAGAAGATTTCCAAATCGCTCTTGAAAATTTCCTTCTTGCATCAGATTTAAATTTATTTTAGACCAGTACCTTCTATTATTTCTATTGAACATACCAAAGTTGGTGAATCGGGTTTCATCTGAATAAATAATTTCAAATGGAAAACGTACATCTTCTCTGTATTTAGTCAAAAACCAGTTATAAAAAGTCAATTTTCGGTTGTGATCGTTATCGTAAAGATTCTGGTGGAGTTGGTACTTGAATGATCAATACTTTTATTTGTGAAGAATTCTCCAAATCGACGAGTAACGTATATTACACTCAGAAACAATTTGGCGAATTGATGCCGTACAATTCACTTTAAAAGAGGTCAACACCTCTACTTCTTTTTCTTCACTGACAATGAAGTTATTGGCATTTTCTTCTGGTTGATTTTGTATTTTTCTTTCCAGTTTTGGAAAATAATGAAAATAATCAGTTGCATGTCAATTTTCTCATTTCTAGTATAATTTGCCTTATCGAATTATAAAATACACAACAAATACATTTTTAAAAGTGTCAGCATATTCATTAGCCTATTTGTTCAGGTAGTCCCAGCAACAGCTTCAATTGTTTGTCACGGATAACTAGAATAACAGGACTTAGTGCATAAGTATACCGAATACATATTATTTGACAGCTGAAGAACCGCTATCAGAAATCAGGAGAATTTCTACAGGAGTTTGAACCCGAAATTGCTCGATTGGTTTGTCTGGCATATCCTGCTACACCGGAAAATGTAATGGAGCGCTTATCAGTTCAGGCATTCTTGGACGGACTTCGCGACCAAGAAACGAGGCAGGCCTTGACACTAGCTCATCCCTGCAGGCTGCAGAACAATCCTGCAAGAGCCAGAGCAAAGTTCGAGCTATCGGGGAAGATGAACAAGTGCCTGCTGATATTGAGGCCATCATCAGAAAAGTAATGAAAGAAGTGCTGTCTGAGAGGAAACAAATAAGATGCTGGAACTGTGGAAAAATTGGACATGTGCGTAGCAAATGTCCAACTTTCAAAGAATCGACACCAAATCAGGAAAACTAGAGGGGGTCGATGAGAAGGGGCAATCGTCGGCCTGTACCCAGCAAGCCCCCATAAAAAACGCATATGTTGCCATTCTCCAACGACAAGACATAGGTGTTTTCGTAGACGGCCTCATCAACAACGAGCCTTGCACCATGCTGTTAGATACAGGTGCGATGAGAACCATTCCTGGACCAACCTTTGCCAAAACACCGGCAAGAATTGAACCGTCAAGCTAGAACAGGGGAGCCAGCCACTGTACTTGGAGAACTACCAATTGAATTGGTGTTGGGCAGCACAAAATTAAAATATCGTGAATTGGTGGCGGACATCGAGGACGATGCGATCATTGAAATGGACATAATGAATTCACGAGGGTTCAAGCTGAATTTTCAAGACGGCGTCCTACGTGTCGGCGGAGCAGAGCTGGTGCTTCATGGAAGAAACGAAGAGACGATCAGGGTCCTGTTGGCTGAAGACGTGTGCGTACCTGAAAGGGCTAAAACCATCCTGGAGGCTCGCTTGGATGGAAGTACGAGCAGCGGCAAGGTGGTAATGTTCGAGACCAAGATACACGAAGAGAAAATTGGAGGAGGAATCGCACTGGGGAAGATCGTGTTGCGTGTTGATAAAGTTGTGACAGTCAGGGTCATGAATGTCAACTAGGTATGATCGTTTCTTGCAATTATTTCGAAAAATAGAGAAAATTATGTGAAAGTGTGTGGCATCAAATTATTCGTAAGAAAATGATCTTTCACAAAATGCCGACGAGACACCCCCTTTCCATTTGAAAAAATCAAGTTAACTGGAAAAAACCCGTCTGAAACTCCGGTTCTTGTATTCATTTTCTATTTAACGAAACAAAAGCTAAGTAACCCTTTGTGTGCAGGTGGTTCCATATAGAGACCTCAAATAAAATAATCTGCATTTGTGTCACAATTTCAGATTTATAGTGAAAAATCTGATGGAGGTGAAGAAGGCTTAGGTCCTGGAGGCGTCAAAGACTTGACACGTCCACTTGTAGGAAAACTCCTCCACAAGATGTTTTTCGATAACTTCTTTACTTCCGTCACGTTTCTGAATGATTTGCTGAAGGACAACATTTATGGTTATGGAACAATAAGAAGACGACGCAAAAATGAAACAAAAGATATAGTAAATAATAATACAAAAGTAGATAGAGGTACATGCGATTGGGCACTTAGCAAAAAAGGTTTACTTTATCTGATGTGCATGGATAATGAACCAGTTTTATCTCCGAGCAACTTCCATAGTCCAGCTGATGTTCAAACTGTTCCGAGAAAACAGAAGGATGATTTTTCTCGGAATATTGATTGCTTGAAACTGGTAAAAGATTATTTCCATATGGGATATGTAGATCAATCCGATATGTTCGTTTCCTTACACAAAGTGAGAAAATGGTGGCATAGGTTGTTCTGGCATTTCTTGGATCTTACCATAATGANTTCAGATGTTCTCTTACGACTTGAGAATTGTGAGGTGGCGCTCCATCTTGTTGAAAATAGATATCAACTTGTTTAGCATGCGGCAAATCTTAAATGGAATCATTATTTTGATTCCTAAGGAATTGAAGATATCTTTTCGAATTCAGTTGTCCGTCGAAAATTATTGGCCCCAGAAGATTTCCAAATCGCTCTTGAAAATTTCCTTCTTGCATCAGATTTAAATTTATTTTAGACCAGTACCTTCTATTATTTCTATTGAACATACCAAAGTTGGTGAATCGGGTTTCATCTGAATAAATAATTTCAAATGGAAAACGTACATCTTCTCTGTATTTAGTCAAAAACCAGTTATAATAAGTCAATTTTCGGTTGTGATCGTTATCGTAAAGATTCTGGTGGAGTTGGTACTTGAATGATCAATAATTATATTTGTGAAGAATTCTCCAAATCGACGAATAACGTATATTACACTCAGAAACAATTTGGTGAATTGATGCCGTACAATTCACTTCAAAATAGGCCAACACGTCTACTTCTTTTTCTTTACTGACGGTGAAGTTGTTGGCATTTTCTTCTGGTTGATTTCGTATTTTTCTTTTCAGTTTTGGAAAATAATGCCGAGTGGGATGGTGATGATTAGGGAACCTCTGAGCATAAATTCAAGCTGCATCAGTTGCATTTTTTTTGTTTCTCCGTAAATTAGCAGCATGTCAATTTTCTCGTTTCTAGTATAATTTTCCTCATCGAATTATAAAATACACAACAAATACATTTGTAAAAGTGTCAGCATATTCATTAGTCTATTTGTTTAGGTAGTCTCAGCAACAGCTTCAATTGTTTGTCACTGATAACTAGAATAACAGGAGTTAGTGCATAAGTATACCGAACACGTATTATTCAACAGCTGAAAAACCGCTATCAGAAATCAGATCAGGAGAATTGCTCGATTGGTTTGTCTGGCATATCCTGCTACACCGAAAAATGTAATGGAGCGGTTATCAGTTCAGGCATTCTTGGACGGACTTCGCGACCAAGAAACGAGGCAGGCCTTGACACTAGCTCATCCCAAACATCTCGTAGATGCACTGGCAAGCGCTCTGGAGTTTGAGGCTGCAAAACAATCCTGCAAGAGCCAGAGCAAAGTTCGAGCTATCGAGGAAGATAAACAAGTGCCTGCTGATATTGAGGCCACCATCAGAAAAGTGATGAAAGAAGTACTGCCTGAGAGGAAACAAATAAGATGCTGGAACTGTGGAAAAATTGGACATGTACCCGGCAATCCCCCATAAAAAACGCATATGTTGCCGTTCTCCAACGACAAGACAAAGGTGTTTTCGTAGACGGCCTCATCAACAACGAGCCTTGCACCATGCTGTTAGATACAGGTGCAACGAGAACCATTCTTGGGCCAACCTTTGCCAAAACACCGGCAATAATTCAACCATCAAGCTGGAAGCTACGCACCGTAACAGGGGAGCCAGCCACTGTACTTGGAAAACTACCAATTGAATTGGTGTTGGGCAGCACAAAATTGAAACATCGTGAATTAATGGCGGACATCGAGGACGATGCGAGCATTGAAATGGACATGATGAATTCACGAGGGTTCAAAATGAATTTTCAAGATGGCATCGTACGTGTCGGCGGAAAAGAGCTGGTGCTTCATGGAAGAAACGAAGAGACGATCAGGGTCCTGTTGGCTGAAGACGTGTGCGTACCTGAAAGGGCTGAAACCATCCTGTAGGCTCGCTTGGATGGAAATACGAGCAGCGGCAAAGTGGTTATGTTCGAGACCAAGATACACGATGAGAAAATTGGACGAGGAATCGCACTGGGGAAGACCATGTTGCGTGTTGATAAAGTTGTGCCAGTCAGGGTCATGAATGTCAACTAGTTATGATCGTTTCTTGCAATCATTTCGAAAAATAGAGAAAATTATGTGAAAGTGTGTGGCATCAAATTATTCGTAAGAAAATGATCTTTCACAAAATGCCGACGAGACACCCCCTTTCCATTTGAAAAAATCAAGTTAACTGGAAAAATTCATATTTGCGACTGTGAAAAACTTTATTTTCAAAAATATTACATGTTTCGCTATCACAGTAGCTTTTTCGTGGTGATAACATGCGGAAAGTTATTTATTTTCTCCAATTTTATATACCACACGTGATCACAAGTAGGAAATGTGGAATATAAAAATGAAATTGTGAAACTTGCCCCCTGGTATATATTGGTCAATCTGGCAGAACATTTAGGAATCGTATCTGGGAACATCATATGAGTATACTCAATTCATGTTTCAGAAGAGAAGTATATCTTTAACAAAGATTTTCAAAATTTCACACATAAAAAAGGCCTAAAGCTAAATGATTGGGTAACAGGATTAATTTTTCTCAAAAAAACAATTGTTTTCTATTCGACGTTTCGAATTTATTTGAATTCTTCTTCAAGGCTCTGTTACAATGAATTTTCATGAACACATCTCCCACGAAACTAATACGATTATTACAGTTTCAATTCTACAATAAATAATGAGTTCCTAATTGAATTACTCACCGAAAAGCAGTTCCTTCGTATTGATAGTATTACTATTTTAAGAATCATCAGACATATTAGATAGATATATATTAAAAAAAAATTTCAACAGACACTCTTCCGAGACAACACCAACACAAAACGATATGAAACAATCGAATGGCTTCATATGTGATTCTTATAAGGTGGTGTCTGTTTTTTATCAACTCGAAGAAACTACTTTTTAGTTAATACTTCAATCAAGAACTCATTATTTCTTGTAGAATTGAAACGATAATAATCGTATAAGTTTTGTGGAAGATATGTTTATGATAACTCATCGTTTCAGGGCCCTGAAGAGGAATTTTATCAAATTTGAAACGTCGGCAGAAAACCAACTGTTTTTCAAGAAAAAATTGACCCTGTTACCCCGCTACCTTTTCTTTAAAAAAATATTATTGGATCACTAAACAAATGAACTGTAAAGAAATGACTTTCAGTTTGTTAATCACTATGAAAAAGCTACTGTGATACAAAAATATGTGATATTTTTGAAAATAAAGTTTGTGAATATCAAATCGTTGAGAGCAGTTTGTGAAATTACTATGGATCTTCATCAAGTAACGGCCAANTTAGGAGCAGTTTGTGAAATTACTATGGATCTTCATCAAGTAACGGCCAAGTCAATCAGAAAAAAAAATTGTTTCATTCCATGTCTCAACCAAAAATATAGGTGGAAATTTCGAATGTGTCTGTATAACAATTTATTCATTATTGATGTCACAATTTCTGAAAATGGGAAAAAATGGCGGAAAATCTAAAAGTTTTTGTACGTAAGCGCTTGTTGATCTGAAAGTGAAAAACAAATTAATGCGTTTGATCTTTCATTTTAGTATACTTGAAATTGAATCATTTCATTGAATTATAACAAATATTCGGAATGTGTGATTCTACACAAAAGGGTCCTGTTGATTGTTCACACGTGTCTAACGAAATACGGCAGGTTAATTGGGATTTCAGCTGCTATGAGATTCCGTTCAAAATTGAACATTCTGCATTTCACTCTGTCGTCGTTGCTATTTGATGAGAAATTAGAACCTCACTGATGTAAAATAACAAGAGTTTGCTTGAATGTAAAAGGATGTATAGGCAACTTTTTGTTTTCCACACAGTAAAAAGTATTTGTTTAAAGGAAGATCATAGGTTGCTTTGAAATTTTTATCTCTATTGGAAAAACATTACGACCGATACCCTTGGGGAACCAGGCGATACCTCATTGTAGTCGGCCTACCTTTGGTAATGCGGGGCTCTGCCAGAGGTGACCAACTCTTTCCTTGCTACACACATGAATGAAACACAAAAACAGAAACAAAAACCAATCCCGATGGCTGGGGATGAAAAAAATGTCCACACGAGTCTACCGCTTGGAATGAGGCTGGACATAGCAGATAACCTTGTGATGTAATACAAAGGCCAAGGCGTAAGTGCATTTCCGGCGACGAGATCAAAAGGAGAAAGAAAATGAAGGAGGCAGGAATAGCAGCAACTATAAGTGCACTCTCCTCCTCCCCCATTCCACCTCCAACAGCAAGGGCACTTTCTGCGACGTGTGCTAAGAGCTCCGCCTTGAATGAAGGCAAGGAATCGGCTGTTCACATCCACGGAGGGAACCCCTAGAAGGTTGAAGAAGTCACGCAACGACAATAATGTCGCTGTACCTTCCAAAACCTTTACGTAGGCCACCGTAAGACACCTCAAGGTTGCCAAAGAGACTGTATGTTCGGCGAGTCTTGGCCTACACCTGCCAATATGAAGGAGATGTCTCCTAGTGACCTATCCACCTTTCTGGAAAGGACAGGATGGACGATGACCTAGGAGGATGTACAATATGTCACATGTGGCCTAAGTGCTGTCGGTCTACACTCACCCTCCCTACTCTACAGATACAGATACGTTGTTCCATTCGAAATTTTTAAACGTTGAGAAATAGATGGAGTTTGAAGGGTTCCATCGAGTACGTATACATCGTTACCAAAACTCAAAATACTTGAAATAATTATATTAAAATCCAAACTAGCCATTTTCATGAGACATCCTATTGAATAGTCTGCAAAATAGGTTATTTTGAAACAACTTGGCAATAACACAAAAATAATTGAAAATGAAAAACGCTCAGAAAGATTTAAGAATTTGTATACTGGGTATTTCATTGAGAAAATGATAACTATGGTTAACTACGCTCATCTAAATTACCTAATATCTGAAAAAAATTATTTCAAAATACACCTCTCATTTGTATCCTAAATAAAAATATTGAACAGTTCGGAAAATTGTTTCATTCCAGACCGATATACCGAGAAAATCTCATTGACTCACCCTGTATAATAATGTATCCCAAATAATAAGGGTTTGAATGTGATCTATCCGATTTCAAATTCACAGTTAAAATCATTCTAATAACTCACTTGATCACGTTGAGCGAAGTACACCGGGAGACAGAACTCTGCAGCGGAGTGTCAAAGGACACAGGTGTGATGCAGCCCTGACCCTGTTCACTGGGACTCTCCTCCTCCGTATCACTGTCTTCCCGTCCGGAGTACCACCATGCTATGCACCAAGCTCGAATTCGCCAGATACTCGATAGCCAGCCTCTTCTCCTTTCGGGAATTAGGATGACCTTACAAAAACTCAAAGTCAAAAGGCCATCGTGACATAGAATCTATCTCAAATGAAAAATATATTTGGAACATACAGAAAATATAAAATTCTGTTCTAAATCTTTCACATCAGAGTACTCGTTTAGCAACAAATCTAATGAACTGTTAAGTCTGCGATTACCGATGACGAATGTACAAGCACTGCAGAAAAATATGTGGGACATTCTGTCTGTACGAAATTGGGATTTACGTTGAATTTTATCCGCTGTGAATCATATCCGTTTGAAAAACCATTTCTGGAAGTTTATTTCATAATAACGTCGATCTCCAAGTTGAATAATCCTTGAAAAGAGTAGTTCGAGGTATGAATGTTTTCTTATTGAATATTTATTTATGTCATTTGTATAACTGTATGATCTCTCAAAACTGTGCGGTAGGAATATGATATTTGAGCAAAGATTAGAAAATTTAGTTCTGTATTACGTTTTGTTTTTTATCACATGCTTTATCAGGATAATATTTATGATTTGCAATTGCTTAAAATGAAACAATCATAATATGTAATGTATTATTTAGTTTCTTTCCTTACCACTTATAGCTGTTCATATTACAAATGAGATACTTTGGATTCAAGTAACTAAATACATCCAAATGAGAGGGACAGTTTATAAACAGAAGCATAAGTTCATCTTATGGTGAAGTAAATTAGTTCATTTGATTTATACAAATAGAAGCGTTTCAATGGAAAATGGTTTTCTTCAAAGGAAAACAATTAATTTCTCAAACGGAGATATTTAAATAATGTTCCAAGTAAACATATCATTCTTTCAAAACCCAAAACAGTTTTGCTTCGAGATTAATTTTGCTCAGACTAAAGAATGCATATTTACTTCTCTTGAGCTAACGTGATGATTTCTATTAAAATGTATGCACAATCTTGGTGGAATATTTTTTTTTCTTAAAAGAAGCGTTTATTCAGTCCATTTGAAATAATGATTCAAATTCAACTTGAGAGAATATGTTCCTCAGTTTAAAAAATTATTTCTTCATGAATATAGGAGAGCAAGATTTCTTTAAATCAAAATAATTTTCTTCTCATTGAGATTTTTTTACTGTGCAGATCAAAATCCTGAAGAGTTCAATAAGGTAGGTACAGCTAATAAGTCATAATTTTGGTTGGGCCCTTTCATCAAAGCTCCGACACTATGGAGAAAACCCTTGCACCGATAACCATTATTGTGAGCTAAAAGATTATTTGAAGCTTGGGGTAGGAAGGTCAATATTGGACAATCAGTTTACCAAAGTGGTTCAAAAAGAGTTTGCGAGAGTTGGGAGAGAAAATCTAGAATTCCATAAGTTTTTTTTCTGTTCAAGTAACACTTCATTGTGATATTTTCACTGGACAGTTCACAAAATCGCAACAACCGCATCACGTTTTTCGCTATACAATAGCTTTCTCAAGCATTTTCATACTGTCCACTGAAAATCTCACAACAAGTGTTACTTGAATACGTTACGGATCTTCATCAGCTATCCAATTCCATCACATAGTGTTTCTTCTCTTTTCGAACGATATTCTTGAGGCTCATTTGCCTGAGGGGAAGTAAGAAAATGTTAGTTCATGAGTTAATATGCATCCTGCCTAAACAACAATCATTCTGCTTATCAAACTGGCAAATCGACAGATTCAAAATTGAATAATCTTGTAGGAAAAATCACCCAGCAACAATAAATATATTGCGATGGTCATATTTCTCGAAGGAGCAAATGAAAATGCAATACCCAAATCAGTCGAATTAGTATTGGCTGAAAAATACATATATTTGGAAATAACTAGCTGAATGGACGGAATTCCAGTAAACAGAACACCGAGATTTTTCCCGAAGAGGCGATCAGGTTCGGGTTTACCAGGAGCTGCCTCAACTTGGGTTATCAGTTCTACTTCTGTCGTCACACCTGGTGAATACTTCGATACCTTCAACAGGCGAAAATAAGATCTACACGCTTAAGCAAGTTAACTTGTCATTTTGACAAGAACCACATCAGAAAGGATATCGTGTAATATTTTACAAAGAACGCTGAATGATGTTCGTGATAGCTGCCAGAGGAAACAGATATCTAAAAGATATGTAATGGAATTGGCTGATATACTTGATAGAAATCATAGGGTATGGAAGAAACACTTTATTGTGAGATTTTCGCTATGAACAGTTTTACAAATACGCAAAACGTGTTTCGCCATACAATAGCTTCTTC